GGTCCCTTTTTGGGGGTCCCTACAAAAAGTACGGCACCCTTAAAGGAAGGACCAAATTAACCCCTAATCTAGTGAACTGCCCTAAATCCCAGCGCTAGCTGCAGGAATGACATCCTATGGAACCCTGATTTGCCAAAGCTCCCCCCGGACTTGCAAAATGGGCTGCTCTAGATCCAAACCCTAAACCCTGAACTAGCCCTAAACCCTACTAAGCCCTAAACCCCAATCCCTAAACTACCCTAAACCCTAAACCCTAAACCCGAAACCCGAAACCCTAAACCCTAAACCCTCCCGAAACCCGAAACCCTAAACCCTAAATCCTGGTACGTAGGATTCAGGGCTTCAGATGGTGCCCATGCTCCAGAGCAAGAGAACGGCGACCTATGGCACGAAAGGCCCTGACTCGTCGAGTTGCGACAGCAAACCCTAAAATCCAAATCCTAAACCGGTTTAGGGGTTTAGGGTTTTAGGGTTTTTCAGGGTTTTTCAGGGTTTTGGGGCTTTAGGGTTTTAGGGTTTTAGGGCTTCAGGGTTTAGAGCTTTAGGGTTTTGGGGTTTTATGGTTTTGGGGCTTTAGGGTTTTCGGGTTTTAGGGTCTTAGGGTTTTGGGGTTTTAGGGTTTTGGGGTTTTAGGGTTTTCGGGTTTTAGGGTTTTAGGGTCTTAGGGTTTTAGGGCTTTCAGGGTTTTAGGGCTTTTTAGGGTTTTTCAGGGTTTCAGGGTTTTAGGGCTTTAGGGTTGTAGGGTTTTAGGGTTTTAGGGTTCTGGGGTTTTAGGGTTTTAGGGTTTTAGGGTCTTAGGGCTTTAGGGTTTTAGGGCTTTAAGGTTTTAGGGTCTTCAGGGTTTAGGGATTTAGGGTTTCCTAAACCCTGGACCCTTGAAATCCCACACGGGGCCGGGGGGGGGGTGCTTCCGAGTTTAGGGAGTACCTTATTGGGGTCCTTTTACAGGGGGATCCTACCATTCGGGGGCCCCTTAGTATCGGAAACCCCCACATGAGCATCTGTCACAACGCAGTGCAGTGCTTTTCGAGCCTTTGAGACCAATGCAAGTAAGAAGGAGCCGGAGCCACAGTTTTGGCGGATTGGGGGGGGGGGGGGGGTTTATGTTTTAGGGTCCTGCGGTCCTCTTGTTTGGGTTCTAGGGTTCTAGGGTTCTAGGGCTGAGGGTGTAGGGTCTAGGGTTTAGGGTTTAGTGTTCAGGTTTCGGGTTTCCTTAAAAACCCTGAAACCCTAAAACCCTAAAACCCACAACCCCCAAAACCCCAAAACCCCAAAACCGTAAAACCTAAAACCCCAAAACGCTACAACCCCAAGACCCTAAACCCCCAATCCTAAAACCTAAGAAAACCCAAAAACCCAAAACAAACAGAACCCAAGAAAAAACCTCAAACCCCAAAAAAGAACCAAAAAAAGGGACCCGATTGCAGATCGACCGCCCAAAGAATCAGTGGTTACGGGCCGTCAAGTGCCCGAGATCCAGCTTCGGGATTTGGAGGGGGATTTTAGGGTTTTAGGCCTGTTGGGGTTTTAGGGGTTTAGGGTTTAGGGTTTAGGGTTTAGGGTTTGGGGTTTAGGGTTTAGGGTTTAGGGTTTAGGGTTTAGAATTTAGGGTTTAGGGTTTAGGGTTTTTTAGGGTCTGTGGCTCAATCTGGACTCCCTGCTGCGTCGGGAGCCTGCTTCCGTCGAGCTCGCGTCTGCTTTGTTCGGTGGCCCCCTTTTCCTCAGTTGGCCTCGTTTAGGGTTTAGGGTTTAGGGTTTAGGGTTTAGGGTTTAGGGTTTAGGGTTTAGGGTTTAGGGTTTAGGGTTTAGGGTTTAGGGTTTAGGGTTTCTGGAAACCGTCTGAAACGGAGGTTAAGGGTTTAGGGCTGAGGGTTTAGGGTTCCTGGAAAAGAAACCCTTACACAAAAGACTCTACACACATACATATATATATATATATATATATATATAGGTATATATATATATGTATATGGAGAGAGAGGGGTTCCCCCCGTTGATCCACCATTTCGGCTTGCCAACTATGAAAGAACGCATAGTTAGTGGCCCCTGACGAAAAGTACTGTGTTGGTATGCACAACTTCTGGATGTCGCTATTGTAGGTTGTGCTGGCAAGCAAATATACATTACTGGTCATCTGTTGGAAAAAAAGAAACTCATGGCTCAAAAGTAATTAATAATTCTCTTCAACTTGATTATGATTATCAGGTGGTAGATATTTGTGGACTGTCGACCTATTTCTAGTAATTCATTGGCTGATAGCAAAACACCCCGAGCAAAAATAGAATCTGCATTACACAAACTGATAGAACTTATAGATTAATGTTGTTGAGTATTTTGCCCAATTTAAACTGCAAATCATTTCACGAGTTCGATTTTTCTTGGAAGTCAGTTAAATCAGTTAAAGTACTCAGATTTTTGACCAGCTGTCTACTCTAAACCCTAAACCCTAAACCCTAAACCCTAAACCCTAAACCCTAATACAGAACCCAGTGGCCTTTCAAACGCATCAAGGTCAAAAACCCCGAAGCCCAGTCTGGGTAGCTTGCCCCAATAGCTGCCCTTTGTTCTCTTTCATTTGCTTCGGCCTTTTTGGGCAGATTTTGCCGGGGGAGGGGGGGGGGGGCTTCGCGAAAAATAGGGTCTTTTGGGGGTTCTGTTCCAATATGGAGCCTCCCAGGAAGCGTACCCAAAAAAAGACCATGATTTAGATGAACTGATTGTACAATGACACACACACACACACATATATATATATATATATATATCGGGACTAAGAAAAGGTATGCAACCCTTGTGGGCTCTACGATGTAGGAACATTGACCTGCCAAGGCGTGCAGACTCTACCAGCAGACTCCCTCAGGGTGAGACGGATGATTCTGAGGAACGTTATGGTCCAGGGTTTAGGGTTTAGAGCTCTTTGGCGTGCTTCAGTGCTTTCGGGTTCTGGGTTTGAGGTTTTCATGTTTAGGGTTTAGCGCACGGATTGCCTTACGGAATCCTCACGGAGCATAGGCATAAACCTACGGGGTGGAGGTTGGATCCTGCTCATCTGAGCAGATGGGACCTAGAAAACTAAACCCCAATACACGTACGGTTTGTCCCATCGCAACCCAGCTCCAGAGGGAGTTCTATGCCCCAAACCCCTTGAAGCGCCCAAAAAAAGCCCGAGGTCCAGGCGTCGGAATTCTCCAGTTCAACCCGAAACCCTAAATCACATCCTAAACCCTAAACCCTAAGCCTTAAACCAGGGTGATGTTGAATGTTTCGGGCTTGGGGTTTATGGGTTCTGAGGCAGAGCTTTTTTAGCCTGTGGGGTTCAGATTCAGGCAGCATAGAGAACTTCGATCTTGCTGTCTAAGCTTAGGGATTTAGGGCTGCGTTCAGTTCAGTACTGTTCCTCCTCCTCATTGAGGAGGGGAGAAATCAGCAACCATGCAGTCGGTGACTGTTTCGAGGCGCCTTGAAGATCCCAGGCGTGGGGCGTTCGGCTTTAGGCTTTAGGGTTTTTGGGGTTTTTTGGGGTTTTGGGGGTTTAGGGTTTGGTCCAGTCGCCTCTCAAAACAGGCCGGGTTTCTGCAGCATACAGGACCCGCCAAGGTTGGCCCTGGGCCCTTCGGCCCAGTTTACCGCGTGTGCCATCCTCGTCCTTCGTTGATGCCCTTGACACGTAAATACCCAGTTGTGGACGAGGCAGACAGGTTGTGAACTCTGAACACTCAGCATTGCCGAGTCACCGTCGTGCAAACAGCCCGAGTGAGTACTCGACATCTAGAACGCACCCGGGAAGGCCTACAAAGCCTCTCCTAGGGTGTGGGGGTGTAGATTGCGGCTTAGGGCCATGGAACCCCAAGCCCCAAACCCGGAAGTCCTTCAAGCTTTCCACTGGAGCCTTCTAGTGTCCGCTAGGGTTGAGGGTTTCGAGCCTACCCTAAACCTTAAGACTTCAACCAACATCGAGGGATGCTTAGGGAGGGTCGCCAGGCTCAGGGTTTGGGGCTCAGGGTGCGGAACCTCTCAGATTACTAAGGCTCTGGGGACTGCCAAACCCCCCTTTTTCATTGGGCTTCTTGGCCCCGGGTGGCTCTGGATCCTCACGATGTCCGACGTAACGAGAGGGGCCGCTGCAAGCGACCATCCTTTGACTCATCCGACGCCCGAGGAAGGATGATAAGAACAGCGGTAAGAGAAGACCAATAAGAAGAAAGCAAACAAAAACGGTAACAATCATCATAAGAGCCAGAAGAATAACGAGAATAATGACGGCAACAATGAAAGAATGACAATAACAAGAACAACAATAAAAATCATGCTGACAACAAGAAATAATGAGCGATGACGCCGAGCCGTAAACCCCAAACCCTTTCTGGGAGACCTGACGATACACCTGCTCAACCCAATAGAAGCCCTGAACCTTAAACCTTAGACTCTAAACCCTCAACCCCAAAGCCTCAACCCTAATCCGAAGGCCTCCTGTCCACTCCATACCCTAAGCCACAAAACGTAAGCCTGAACCCTAAATCCTAAAGCCGAAACCCTATATCCCCTGCTGGGGTTTAGGGCTCATGGTTTTGGGGTAGAGTTTTTGGGTTTAAGGTTTAGGGTTTAGGGTATCCAAAGTATGAGGTGCCATATTGCGATGGAATCTCGGAGATCGGATCTAGGGGATTTGGCTTCGGCGCTTCTTCGAAACGCTGGGTTGCCCTGCTTTCTACCCTGAACCCTGAACCCTAAACCATAAACCCCAAACCCTAAACCCTAAACCCTAAACCCTCAACGAAGCTTCTACTGCTTTACCGAGCCAGGCAGGTTCAGGAGAGGGGGGCCTGAGATGCGAAGTCTGGGGACCTCTTGCTACTGAAACTGCTGTGTAAGTTAGGGTTCAGGGCTTAGGGTTTAGGATTCAGGGCTTAGGATTTAGGGTTTAAGTGTTAGGACTTAGGATTCTGCATGAATTGGCCCCAAAGGTCGCCAGCAGCACCCCGGAGTTGAAATCGGAAAACCTACGCTTGCTTCACAGGGGGGAAGCCCACGTAAAGGAGGACCACGGTTATGTCATCCACCTGGCGTTTTGGGTGCCGGCGTGGTTTGGGGGAGGAGCAAGCCCCCAAGCTCCCATCCAAATCCTTCAACCGAACATAAAACCCTAAACGACCTACACCTTAAAGCCACAAAAAGCCCCCAGATAGCTAAATCATGCGAAATCTTCGAAACAGCCCCAAATATCCAGGAAAGCCCAAAAAAAAACGTAAACAACGAAACCCTCTGGACTCCTGCTTCCAAAACCTGACTCCTGCTTCCAAAACCCTAAGCCCTAAAACCCGAAACCCGAAACCCTAAACCCCCAACCCCAAACCCCAAACCCCAAACCCTAAACCCTAAAACCCCAAACCCCTGATCCTAAACCCCAAACCCCAAACCCGAAACCCTAAACCTCAAAGCGCGGCCCAGGCCACGACGCTGCCGCCCTCTTCCTTGATCCACCGGTCCCAGGCTTCTTTAGCCTTGGGGACGCTGTGCTTGCTTTGGCTTGTTAAGGTTCAGGGTTTTGGGTTTGGGGTTTGGGGTTTAGGGGTTTAGGGGTTTGGGTTTAGGGTTTAGGGTTTAGGGTTCAGGGTTTAGGGTTTAGGGTTTAGGGTTTCGGGCAGAGCGCCACCAGAACGTCCCTGGAGTGCCCACCCCCGACCCGACGAACCCGGCAGAGACTCTCACAGAGCGTCGGAGTGCCCCTCAGCCCTAAACCCTAACCTCTAAACCCTCAACCCTAAACCCTGAACCCTGAACCCTAAACCCTGAACCTAAACCCTAAACCCTATCCCAGATGATTTCGACAGTGCCTGTCAAACTTCTTAGCTCTTGGGGGGCGCAGGAACTCGTAAATCATTGTTAAGGGTTGTTTGGCGTTCTTTGGCTCTTGCATTTTGCGTCGGCTTCTTGTGCTTTTCAGGGCGTTTGGGGTTCACGGTAGGGTCAGGGATTATTAGGGCCTGGGGTTCTCTTTCCTTGAAAGTTCATGTGTGTCTAAGAAGGTTTTAAGTGGAGTTGGGTTTGGACAGTTCCTCGAACATGTCCAGCCATCTTTACAGGCAACGTCTTCGGGCTCACAGGGGTTTAAGCAACAACGATTCTGACGCAATTCCCTACAGAAGCGGCCCTGATTTGGAACAACACCATGTGAGCCATAGGGAAAATAAGCCGGGGGTGAGATTCAGGAGTTTGCAGAGTTCGGCCCCACGATGCACGTAGGGTGTAGGGTTTCGGGTCACCCAAGGCGAACTCCTGATATCAGTAGGATCTTAGATCGTTAAACCCTAGATTCTAGGAGTCAATGATCCTAAACCCGAAACCCTAAACCCCCAAGGATCTAAGACATCCGAAACCGCTCGTTGCCAAGGTCCGAGAGGCGAGGTCGTCTGCTGCGGCGGTCGCCTCGTTGGCGTCATACTTGCTGACAATGTCCACTGCCTGTTTTTGGGTTTTGGGTTTAGGGTTTAGGGTGTAGGGCTTAGGGTTTAGGGTTGCTTCCCAGGTTCTCTGGTAGCCCAGGAGAAGAAAGGGTATCCCGCCTTTTGTCTAATTTGGGGTATGAGGTAACCTAACCCGAAAAGAAGGGAAGACAGGATCTGGGCATTTCCGAAATCTCCCCTTTCAGGGAACTCAGAATTTCTGACAAGGGCGTTTGTCTTTGGGCACTTGGTCCTTAAACAGTTCATCTCAGGTTCCGGACTCTGGGCAACAGGAGCCTTCGCCAGCATCACACGAGCACTATTGCTTGAATGGAGAAACCCAGACCGCAAGCCCTGGAACAGGAACCCAGACCTCCCACTCTGCGAAGCTCGTTCGGGCTGGGCTTTCGTTGCTTCGGGTGTTTTAGGCCCCTGAAACCTCCGGAAGCCCCACAAACACTTCAAATCCACCCAAAAACCTAAACCGAAACCTCCCTAGACGGCTTTTGGGGCCCCCGGCTTCTTGCGCAGAGATGAACTCCTGGCGTCCCGGTTGGCCCAGGGCTTAGGGGCTCAGAGGCTTCGGACTTTCGTGGCTTTTTTGGGGAAAGTTCGTGGATTCTAAGGACCCTCTACACCCTCAAACCCTGAAGGGGTCGCTGGGATTCAGGGCTTGGGAGCCTGACAAGGCATACAGGCGAAACTACCGCACTGCAAAGCTCCCAGGGCCTGGGCTGTGTTGAGGGAAGCGTCTTCAGGGCTTACTTGGAGCTTCATGGGTAATTGGAAGCAGGGTTAGGGTGGAACCTTCGGATTCGTGTGTTGGCCAAACCATGCCGCAAGCACCCAAACACCATCGGAGCAGACGAGGAGAATATACTGCTTGCCCTTCTCGAAGGCGATCTTGTTGATCTCCGGCTCACACGACCTCGTGACCGGCGCCCTTCGTACCGCAGACTAGGTAGCAAGTGCTAAGAACTACGAAGAACCTTGCAAGCTAGGCGTGTCCGCCCCTTTCAAAAAAGGGCGCCGACCTGCAGCAGACGAGATGGAGGATCTTAAGAGGGCCCTTTGGGTTGAGGGTGTTCCTGGAAGTTCATGGGTGGTAAGAAGTAGGGGTAATTGGGGGGTTCACGATATTCAGAGACCGCTAATTTAGATACCCAAATACTAGGATTTCCTTAGAGTAGGACCCCAATAAGGTACCCCTAATATCGTAAGCCCCCGCTATATAGCACGACACTTTGGGCATCCGGCATGCCGCATTCCGCATGTCCGAGCAGGTCCCCGAGGCAACGAGACATGTTCAGGCCTGGGCGAGGGTTTATGGCTTTGGGGCTTAGGGTTTAGGGTTGGGGCTTAGGGTTCAGGATTCAGGGTTCAGGGTTTAGGGTTTAAGGTTTAGGGTTTAGGGTTTAGGGTTTAGGGTTTAGGGTTTAGGGCTTAGGGTTTAGGGTTTGGGGTTTAGGTCGTGGTGGGGTTGAAGTCTGGAGGCTTGGCTTGGGCAGATGATCCCGCAACCTTCAAAGCCGAATGCCCCCAAGCCCTGCAGCAAGATGAGCGTTGGCCCCCTACACCCTGAAACCCTAAACCCCTGGACAAGACATGCCACAAATCCGCGGCCTTTGAACAAGGTTCACCCTAAACCCCGAACCCTAAACCCTCAACCCTAAACCATGGAAAGCTTCGCCCCGCTGCAATTTCAAATTGGAGGTTTAGGTTGTAACAACCACAAACCTCCGAAGACTCTTGACCCACGAACTGTCGACATCGTCTCAGCAGCCTGGATAACGCGCGTTCTTGGCATAGACTCGGTAGTTCGCGTACCTGGTCTTTAGGGTTTAGGGTTTAGGCTTTAGGGTTTAGGGCTTAGGGCTTTAGGGCTTAGGGCTTAGGGCTTAGGGCTTAGGGCTTAGGGCTTAGGGCTTAGGGCCTAAGGCTTAGGGCTTAGGGCTTAGGGCTTAGGGCTTAGGGCTTAGGGCTTAGGGCTTAGGGCTTAGGGCTTAGGGCTTAGGGCTTAGGGCTTAGGGCTTAGGGCAGCACACCTGGGTTGCTACCGCCGACCCTCATTGATCTCCCTGTCGAGAAAACACCCCTTACACCCTAAACCCCCTATAAACCTTCTGAGGCCGAAACCAAAACGCTACAATCCCTAAACCCAAAGACCTAGGAGTTTGGGCTGACAGCTTGTGAGGTTGTTCTGAACACCAGGGGAACCCCCAATTGAAGAGGATTCGGAGTTTTTTGGTTTAAGGTTCAAGACTTTGTTGGGTTCGGGCTTAGGATTTAAGATTTAGGGTTTAGCTTCTTTTTTGGCTTGGGGTCTAGGGCTTTGTCTGGTTTCGGGCTCACCCTAAGCCCTAAACCCTAAACCCTAAACCCTAAACCCTAAGCCCTAAGCCCTAAACCCTAAACCCTAAACCCTAAACCCTAAGCCCTAAGCCCTAAACCCTAAACCCTAAACCCTAAACCCTAAACCCTAAAGCTTTGCAGACGAAAGGATTTGAGGCCCGGGCCCGTCAAACACCACGCGTCCACCCGCCTTTTCAATCCGCGCCTTCTCATCCTGGCAAGGATCGGGGGTTCTGGGTGCAGGGGTTTAGGGTTTAGGGTTTAGGGTTTAGGGTTTAGGGTTTAGGGTTGATGTCAGGACATGGTCTGGGAGTCGGGGTTTCGGCGCACTAACAGACAGTAGTGATTTGGCAACACCCGGTACAGTGCGAAACTGGCAGCCTAACCGTAAACCCCAAACCCTATAGACCTTAAGAAGCTCTGCTACGTCCCACATCCCAAGCCCGGAGAGTCCATGAAATGGTCTTGGGAAAACACATATGCCATACGTTGTATACTGCATACTGCTTATGATATCGGATATATGGTCATGTCTCAAAGATTAAGGTCCCTTTTGGTGTGCCCTAGATAAGAGGGCCGCCTTATGAAAAGGAGCCCAAAAAGAGACCATCTGCCCTAAACCCGAAACCCTAAACCCTGGAAACTAGATTATAGACGTGGAAGCCAGAACCCCTGCACACAGGAGGCCTTGAGGTTCGGCTTATGGTCTCTTGTGAGAGCCACGCCGCTCCAGGCGTTCACATTCCTGATGTCCGATTACAGGGTAACTCTGAACTCTAAGCCCTACACCCTAAACCCCCCTAACCCTAAGCCCTACACCCTAAGCCCTAAACCCTAAACCCGAAACCCTAAACTACAGCACCTGTAGGGGTTGTATAGGGTAGTAGGATAACGGGGCTCTTCTTGGGCAGTTAGAATCCTTACTCCTGATGTTGGAGGCTCGGAGCTTGGTACGTCTCGGGCCTGGGGGGTTAGGGCTTGGTTTCGGGTTTCGGGGTTCGGGTTTCGGCTTAGCTACACCTCTATCCTAATCCTAGACCCTAAACCCTCAGAAGCACAGCAAAAGCTCAAAGGAAACATCAACCCTAAACCCTAAACCCTAAACCCCAAACCCTAAACCCTAAACCCTAAACCCTAAACCGTCGAACTCAAAGCAGCTCAAAAAAATGGGGCGCCGAGCCGCTTGGTGCCCAGGGCCGCAGTAGAGTCCGCGACATGCCCGATGGTGATGGAGTTGTCTGAGTGGTCGTGGATGGCCACCTTGGATAAGGGTTTGGGGGTTTAGGGTTTAGGGTTTAGGGTTTAGGGTTTAGGGTTTAGGGTTTAGAGTTTAGGGTTTAGGGCTTAGGGCTTAGGGCTTAGGGCTTAGGGCATAGGGCCCGGGTCCATAGTTTCCGCTTGGGGTTTGCGAAACACTTCTGAACATACAAACATGTATTCTCCTGTACGCAATTTGAGAAACAACCCCATGCTTACAAAGGACCAAGAGAAAGGAACAGGAAGAGACATCAGGAATCCGCCACAGAATCCAGGATCAATAAGCCCTAAGCCCTAAAACCTAAACCCTAAACCCTAAACCCTAAACCCTGAACCCTGAACCCTGAACCCCGAACCGCGAAGCCCCGAACCCTCAGCCCTGAGGTCCGTAAGGGTTCTTAGCCCAGCTGCTGTTGCGGTGGTTCCTGACATCTGAGCCTGCAGGGTCTTCATCTTGTCGGATGCCATAATGAAATTCTGCGTCTTTTTGAACCTCGGACGCTCTTAAGGGGTTCTTCGGGGTCTTAGATAGGGGTTCTTGGGTTTTGTAGGGTCCTTAGGGCTTTTTGAACCTCGGATTCCATGACGCACTCTTAGGGCCCCTGAGGGGTTCTTCGGGGAGGCTTAGATAGGGGCTCTTGGGCTTTGTAGGGTCCTTAGGGCTCTTAGGGTTCTTAGGGTTCTTAGGGTTCTTAGGGTTCTTATGGTTTCGGGCTTAGGGTCTACGGTTTTTGGAGGGCTCGGAGTTGAGGGTTTGGGACTTGGAGGAGGGTTTGGGGGTGTTGAGTGTCGGTTAGGGATAGGGCTCACCCCTGAACCCTAAACCCTAAACCCTAAACCCTAAACCCTTTTGTCGGACCAGGAGCGCATCAGACAGAATGGGGCCCCAGTCTCGCTTCTCGGTTGAGAAGACCCGCTCATCCTTGATGATGCACTTCGGCAACATGTCCATCGCAAAGTTTGACACGTCATGTCCCTTCTGCCCATGACCATCAAAAACACCATAGAGTGAGAAATTCTCCTTGGGTGGGCGCGCTTAAAAAAACACCGAAAAAGGCCCCAACATGCTGGCTCGGGGCCTGCATCCTAGCAGACTTTTAAAAGCATCTATGCCATAAGCCCTTAAACCCTAACACACAGACCCTAAACGCTAAACCCTAAACCCTAAAACCCTAAACCCTAAGCCCAGAAAAGATTTCTCAACAGCACCCAAGCCTCCATCTTCAGGACGAACCAAGAATCTTGGTTGGGGCTTTCGGGCTTTAATCCTTTCCGGCACGTGTAGCCAATTCCTTGGAAGGCCAGGGTGCTTGCATTCAATGCGACCCGGAATAAGTTTAGGCTTTAGGGTTTAGGGTTTAGGGTTTAGGGTTTAGGGTTTAGGGTTTAGGGTTTAGGGTTTAGGGTTTAGGGTTTAGGGTTTAGGGTCCGCTGATCTACCCCTAAGGTCCGAAGGACAGGTCTACTATCTGAATTATAGCGTCTATGCCGACGCTCGCCGGGGGCTTATGCAGGGCTTGTATGCCCTATGCGCTTTGGCTTGTTTAGGCTTCTCCCCCTTAACCCTCAACCCCAAAACCAAAACCCTAAACCCTAAACCCCGAAACCGCATACCCTAAACCCTAAACCCCAAAACCCTAAACCCTAAACCCAAAAAAACAAAAACCTAAACCCAACATGAACCGCAGATTCCGCACTGCGCGATGTCCACATCGGTGTCCCCGAACTTCTGCCTGGCCATTGACATTGGGACGGGGAATCTGGTGCTAGCCCTTCAAGCCCTTGCACTCTTTTCTGTTGTTAAGGGTTTCGGGTTGAGGGTTTAGGGTTTAGGGTTTCGGGTTGAGGGTTTAGGGTTTAGGGTTTAGGGTTTAGGGTTTAGGGTTGGTTTAGGGTTCAGGGTTTAGGGTTTTTGGGTCAACCCCGTCAAGCCATCTCAAACCGAAGAGCCTAAACAAGAACAGGCTTTTGGGTTTAAGGTTTAGGCTTCGGAGTTTGGGGTGTGGGGGGGGCTAATTTGCGGTTTAGGGTAACATTAGTGCAACATTCTCGCCTTACAACCCCAAAAGAGCTACAGCCGATACTTAACTCAAAAGGCACCTGTACTAGTTTTTGCTTCACTGTGCGTTTAAGGCCGCAACCTGTCGAAAAGTAAAGGTGATGTATTAGGCATGGGGGATCTGCGTTGGGGTCCTGTGAAAGGGGGAGGGAGGGGGGGTGGGGGGGGGCGGCTCAGGATTGACCCCACAAACCCCAAACCCAAGCCCTAAACCCTAGATACACCTCTGGCTCCATCCCCTCTTCATGCAGATTACCGTCGATAAAGGCAGCTGGTTCGGAAGGATCGGCGGCGGTAGTCTCTTAACTTGCAATGTTGCCTTTCCCTAAGTCGTGCGCTTCGGGATTGTCCAAATTGGAGTTGCGCAAAACCCTAAACCCTAAACCTTCTTGGTTTAGGGCTTAGGGCTTAGGGGCTGGCATAAGATGGTTTTGGGTTTGGGGCTTAAAGTTTAGGGACTAGGGTTAAAGCTTAAAGCTTAGGGTTTAGGGTTTAGGGCATACCCTGGATCCGCCCACGACAGAAAACCCAGACCTTCAAACTCTCAGCCACGGAGTCCTGAATTAAAAAACACCTTCAGACGCTTACCAGAAAACAGAGTGCAAGATTCTCACCAAAAAAGGACTTAAAAAGCAAAGCCCTGAACCCTAAACCCTAAACCCTGAACCCTAAACCCTAAACCCTAAACCCTAAACCCTAAACCCAAACAAAATGAGGCATGCCAGGGTGCATTGTCTTGTTCGCGAAGGAGGTGGTACCCTTGTCCGTCTTCGAGCCTCGGCCGCGGGAGAGCTTTAGGCACTTCCGCCTGAGGGCTCGGGGATTCGGGTTTAGGGAAGTGGTCCTAAAGTCCTAAACGCTCGAATCCTGAACAAACCTGAAAGAACTCGCCACACAAACCCTGCATCCAAACAAGGCGCAAACCCTCCCCATGTCCCTAAACCATCACGCCTAACCCTCAACCCTAAACCCTAAACCCCCCAATACCGCCAGGCTGCTGAGGGAGACCCGTCGACCGCTCTTCGCTTTTCCTGTCCCATCCTGGGTCTCGGAAACCATCTCGATGAGGTTGTTCTTGCCTTGCTTGGAGGTCCATGGCTTAGGGTTTAGGGAATTTAGGGGTTTTTCAGGGTTTTCAGGATCTTCTGGGCTTCGTCTTGCAAACCGGCCTTATAAGGATCCCTTTCCCAGCTGCTCCCGCAAAGAGCCGAGAGGCTGAACGCGGCAATCAGACCACGATCTTGTTCTGCCTGAGAGTCCTGCGGGTTGATGGTTTAGGGATTCGGGTCCGGCATGTTGAGGGGGGTTTGAGGCCCCTGGCGCATAGCTGGCGCCGGAACCCCACGTCAGGATCTGCTTAGGGTTTTAAGGTTTAGGTTCAACTGCGCACCTAGAGCCTAAACCCTCAACCCTCAACCCTAAACCCCTGAACGGCCTCGTTGCCAGGAAGCTCGCTTTCGTCAACCTGGCCCACGCTCAATCGGCGACGGGGCTTTGGAACCGGGACTTCCGATGCGGTTGAGGATGCGCAACCTGGGCCACAGCGGCTTCACGGCTGAGGGCTCAAGGCCTGGAGGGATTGAGGCTGCAGAGGCCTAGGGGTTTAGGGTTTAGGGTTTAGGGTGTAGGGTGTAGGGTGTAGGGTTTGGAGTTTAGGGTTTGCGGTTTATAAGTGAAGCAGAGAGTGTGATCCTGGGCCTGTGCTTGTCCCTGCAGAATACGCAGAACAGTCTACACACAAGCACCCAACTCTCTAACCCCTATACCCTGAACACTAAACCCCAAAACCCCAAAACCCTGAAACCATAAACCGCAAAACTCTAGTACACTAAACCCCAAAACCCTAAAACCCTGAAACCATAAACCGCAAGACTCTAGTCCATCACAACTCAGAAGTCGCTTTGATCCTGCTCAGCTGCTGAGCCTCCCAATATCTGTCAACACTTCTCATCTCCAGGGCAGGCTTCCGTGGTTTCCTAAAACCCTAAACCCTAAACCCTGAACCTTGAACCCTAAACCCTAAACCCTAAACCTTAAACCCTTGTCTGAATCCTCAAAGCCCCACCGTTGAATCCCGCAAGCCCACATTTGGTCAAGTGGCAACCCATGGCTCAAATTGGCCGGAGCTACTCACAAGAGAATCGACTGGCAGGAGAGACGATTCTGCGGAGCATGCACAAGCTCTCCAACACACTTGTGGGCTTTCAGCTGGCTTTTCGGGTTGAGGGTATAGGGTATAGGGTTTAGGGTTTAGGGTTTGGGGTCGAAGGCTTGGTTGCTTCAAGTGCTCTGACTGGGGCGGGGTGGCTTGGGATACGTCCCGCTTCTGCTCGGGGGCGCGATGGCTCAGGGGGTGCTCCAAACAAGGAAGTTACGAGAAACAAATACCACTTCAAGAGACATCCCGGGAGTCCCATAGAAGGAGGCTGCTCAGGGCTTAGCTTAGAGCACCTAGGTGATAATGGGGTTTAGGTTTTAGGGCTGAAAATGTAGAGTTCAGGACGTGCGAGGATCTAGGATTGCTCAGGCTGCTGGCCATGCTTCTCCACCATTCTTATTCTGCACGTGTGAAGGTCCGGCTTCCGAAAACCCTAACCCCTGAACCCTGAGCAGAAAATGCCTAAAATTGTCCCAAGACGGGTCAAGTGACGTAAGAATGGCAACGTCGGAGCCAAAACCCTAAACTCTCAGGCCACCTAACCTAACGCTTTTCCATCACGCCTCTCTGAGCTTCAACACTCCATCGAAAGAGCAGAGCGGCGGTCGGTAAGACTGCTACAAGTGCTCCTGTGGGATAACCTCCCAACGGTCGCACGAAAAAGGCACAAAGACCACGTTGTGGAAGGAAAGGCGCCCGAATCTGTACAGGCGGCCCTCGGGCACCTCTGGGGCCTCTAGAGTCTGCAGGCCCCTAGACCTCCTGCAAGTAGTACTGGGAATACCGAAATGGCATCCACTGATCGGCTGAGCACGGGCTCCAGTCCCCGTCCTTCTGCTTCACCTCCTTGCATTCCTGACGTTCGTTGTCCGGAGGTGTGGTTGGGCTCATGGGCATATACTGCAACATACTGGAACAGAAACCCCCTAACAAAACCCAGGATTCACATAGCAGCCACTTGGCTGGCGAGGCTCGAGCCACTTGGCGCCGTTCACCTCACCAGGGATGCTCGCTTTTTAAGCCCCAATCCCTACACCCTGAACCCCTACAGGCCCTGAGTCGATTTAACCCCTATCCCTAATCCCTAAACACTAAACCCCTTATTCCCTAAACCCCTAAGCCCTGATTCCAGTAACCCCTTATCACCCTTATCACCCGAATCCCTCAACCCTAAACCCCTTATTCCCTAAACCTGTAAACCCGCAACCCGCAAAAACCGGAACATGACAGAGATGGTGGCCCCTTCGGGGCTGGAACTCATTTTCCGTCTGAGTGCAGTCATTGGGGTTTTGCCTCAAAAAGCCAACCCAGGCACCCTGAAAATGGAGCACAAGCTATCCAACGGCAATTTTCTTAAGGAAACCTGTCACGGTTCCGGCCGCCCTTCCTTCTTAAGGACCCCAAGACCCGTAGGTTCATGGGCAGTAATACGTAGTGTAAGAAGGCAATCTTTATTCTGACCTTAAGGTACCTAAGACCTATGGACCCTACTTCTTACTACCCATGGAACCTTCAGGTAGGGCATGGCATCTCAAAGGTGCCTCGTGGACCACACCCCGCAGCTGCGCGCCGTCCCGCGGCCAGTTGTCCTGTGGAGCTGGCGGGTTCAGAGCCAGGGTTTAGGGTTTAGGGTTTATAGTTTAGGGTTTAGGGTATGGAGTTCAGAGTTTAGGGTTTAGAGGGTTTAGGAATTTAGGAGGGTGTAGAGTTGGAATCGACAGTAAAGAGAGCTTAGTAAACTATCCTTCCTGGGCATATTTCTGGGAAACTCGGCTTTCAAGCCAGGTGAGTCACAGCACGAAAGTTCACTGTATTCATCGCACTTCTTTCTCCGCTCGTTCTCTCATTCGCTCACGGGTTGACTTAACGGGCCATTTAGTATTGTTTTGCCTGGCTTCACTAAGGCTGAGAACGGATGAAGGAAGTGAACAGCCCACAAAAGGCCCTTTTGAATCTGGGGTCTTTCACTTTGTTTCCATTTCCCCCTAAAGTATAGTTCATGTCGTCCAACGTGAGACCAAGCTAAGCGGGACAGTCTAGAAAAGCAGAGGGTGCAGTAGTGACATATGCTGAGGCTCTACGATCTACAATGACACAGCCGCATTGCGAGCTCGCTCCTAGACGCAAGAGACCTTAAACCCCACAAGCCCTGCAAATGTTCCCTATAGACCCCCTGAACCCGAAACCCTAAACCCTCATCCTAAACCCTAAACCCTAGACCCTAAACCCTATAGACCTGAGAACCCTCCCAACGCGGGGTCCATGGTACCGCGCTGGCCGCTTCGTGGGTCCGGGCGCCAGAACCTCCGCGTTCGCGGGGGCGTTCACGGGCTTTGGGGTTTGGGGTTTGGGGTTTAGGGTTTAGGGCTTAGTGGGGGTCAGATTTCGGGGTCGGGGTTTTTAGGCTCGGGGCTTAGGATTCATCAGGTAGCTTTAAGATGTTTGAGGTAGGGCTCCGGGATGAGGGCGGATGGAGCAAACCGAGTCGGATGGGTTCTGCTGGGTTTGGCCCTACTGAAGGAACCGATGACTATGTTCGACATGCACCATGCCGACTTCTACATGAACTTCAGGACACACTGCCTTACGAAAGCCTCGAGAGCCGAAATGCTGCGCCCAAACGAACACACTCTCTTCGATACGAGCCCAGGCACATTCCAGTACAGCCAGGGCCATCCTCCAGCAAGGACAGTCGGGGGTCGAGGGCTCGAGGCGCAGTCAAGGGTTTGAGGGTCTTGGGCTTCGGGGGCTTGCAAGACAAACAACATAGCTTGGCTCATACAACTTGTATCAGGACAGCATGCACCGTTTCCTGTGGGAGCTACCTCTATCGTTGCCGCGCCCTGTCCTTCATGAGGTTGAATGTGCCAACCGTGTCTGCCATGTCGCTTTGCAAGCGAATAAGCAATCAGCAGAATGTGGGGTCCTGCAAAGTTGCCACCTTCGATGCGTGTCATGTGATCAACCTCCTGCTCCGTGTTGCTTCGACCTGTTTGCTGGCATGTTCTCGCTCGGGCCTCAAAGCAACGAAAGGCGTGAGCAGCAGTCAAGACTCCACAAGGTTGAAGCTCAGGAGCCTGGGAAGGACTTGACGTAGTAGGTTAGCGAGTGACCGAATAATGATGCTTGGTTCAGGGGGAAGCCTAGCAAGGCTCGCTTCATTCCAGCATGTCATTGTAGGCATCGCACGTCGCAGAAACAAACAACCAGTCCGTGAACAAAGGCGGACGTCGCAGAGGCGCTCCCTCCGATCGATCCTAGGTACTCTTCCTAGCTACCACGCCAACAAGTTCCACCCTGACCCGTGCAAGCCCAGTCAAAGATGCAAGATGCAGGAAGGAAGCAGAAGGAGCACCTCTGAGGGGACAATTCACAACTGACACGCTCAAATTATCAAATGCGACCATTAACTGGAGAACCTCGAAACTATACCTGACATCCGCGGTGGTTTACATTCTGTGAGTACGTTCAAGTGTCTGACCCCAAACCCCACACCCTAAACCCCCAAAAACCTTAACCGCAAACCCTGCACTGTGTGTGCTGTCTCTGTCTCGGCTGTATTTGGGGTTTGGGTAACGACAATGCGCTGCTTTTCGCTGGCCTCTCTTTTGCGGCACTTTGGCCGCGAAACATCCGGACCAACAGCGGGATGACAGATCAATATAGAGGCGTTTTTAAAGGATTGATGTAACTTTAGAGGGTTTATGTAAGATGGATTTGGGATTCAGGGGTCTATAGCTTTATGGCAGGATTTGGCCTTTCAATTTTGGCTAAGGAATGAACGACAATACGTGAACAGCATCATCCATGGCATCCGCATCCCATCATCAGACGCATCATAAACCAACGACGTTGCTACAGCCAGCAACACCAGTGACAAAAGAAACAGCAGCACCAGCGCAATTATCAAAGTCATGACAATCACCCCTAACACTGCCGCAGTTCCAAACGCCCACAATGGTAATACTGTGTGCCTTTACTTGTTTTGTCTTCTGGCACGCACACTAAAAGCCCGATTGAATACACTCATTTTATGGGGCTATTTCACCGGATTCTTCATTCTAGTTCTCTCTTTTTGCTTGTTTAATTGAAGACATGAATGCCGCATGAACAGAATTTAACCGTCCCCTGTGAGCGCGACGGAGCCGAGAATCAAAAACGGATCCAAAACGAACACAACAACAAAGCGCAGCCACAACCACAACAACCACGGCCACCACAACGACAAAGGAGAAGAACAGTGACAAAGGCTAGATCAACATCAGCAACCATGCTACAAGTCACCAAAAACTCCTCAACTTATCATCACGCTGCGGGTCTGGATGTTAAGCACAGCGGCAGGGGGTCCTGAACCCCAAGATTCTTGAAACAGGCGCTGCCCGTTTTAGAGCGCCATCCAATCATAACAGGCCTCCTGAAGTCATTAGCACGAGGGATCCTGGCCCGGAGCGGACTGGGCTTCGGGCTTAGGGTTTCGGGTTTAGGGTTTAGGGTTTAGGGTTTAGGGTTTAGGGCTTAGGGCTTTGGGTTTTGGGTTTTGGGTTTTGGGTTTATAGGGTTCGGGGTCTAGGGGCCAATTCACGAAATACGCTTCGCAAGTCCGTGAGGCTTGTGTGAACTCCTGCTCTTTGAAGCCTGGATTCACTAGATCCGAATCACTAGCGAAAACTGAGCCCTACTTGAAGGTTCATTGGGTAGTTATACTCTAGTTATAAGTCGGGTTATAAGTACCCAAATTGAGGTCATAATATAGTTTACCTTACTGCCTTACTTATAACCCTACTTATATCTACCCATGAACCTTCAAGCAAGCCCTAATCCTTGGATCCCAAACGCCTAAACAACGAACAGCATTCGAGCCTGGGCCAGAGCCCAGTGCCTCCTCAGTGACTCACCTGCAGCAAGAGTGCAGAAGCGAACGAAAAACGAAGTTTTGGGCTCAGGGTTTAG